GCTTCACTTACAGTACTGAAGTGACGTTTTCCAGGTTGCAATCCTCACCAAGTCCTCTAGGAGGTGCTGCTGATATTTGAAACAATGGCTCATCAATGCTGTAACTGTGACACATTTACACATTTTACATCTACAGTTAAAATTTTCAACAGGACCAGTAATATTTGCAACAAAAAAATGACAAAAAGCAAGACTGGCCTCAGGGTATGATATTATAGTATATCCGGCACATATTTGTCTTGTTCTGAATAACAATTAAGCTAACACCCTCAGGTACAGTACATATAAATCCAGGAAGTCTCTTACGTCAGAACATGGCTTGGTCAGAATTAACTGTCTTCCTGCTCACTTCTTCTTTCTAGCCAATACTTGCTGTATGGGTAAGCCCATAGTAGGAGAAGTGAATCTCACTTCTCAGTAAAATGCCTTATTTACCAGGACAGGGAAACTAAAGAAGTTGACATCAGATATTGTACAATTAAAACATCGAAAGTGTAGCAGATATGCAGAAATTAGTGGCTGTCTTCACCATGGAGGATGTGTTTTCACCTGTAATAGTTTGCTGGTCAGTTAACAGGTGTTGAAACAATCATGAAAATGACAACTCAGGGTTAAGTACTTTTTTTATAGAATACAGTATATGTATGACCCTGTAGTACCTGTTCATTTGCATCAGAATAAGTACTAACAGTCAATGGGGGATTCCAGTTTTTCAAAGGGCAAAGGTGACAGTGTGCTGCAGAATGTTTTGAGGTTAAGAAATGAGTTGACATTTTACATTCATATTATGGCTTTCTTCAGACAGTGGTCACCTATCAAAGAAGGTACAGCTAGGCAGTACAAGGTCTTGCACTGATTTTGTTATGATTCCGTATGTGATATTCTGATTTAATCTTGTATGTACAGTGTTTTTGTAATGTGCTGTAAAACATGTAACCCTAAATGGCAAACATGGCCTACGTGTACACAAGGTCACAATGATCTTCAGCATGAATTATGGTACAAAATTTGGGTCTAAGAATTGTGAAACTTTACAAATTGTCATACTATATATCATGGAATTTGGTCAGAATACTTGAAGTATAATTGGCAATGTAGCAGCATTACTTTCAACCCCAAAATTTGTACACAATTTTAGGACAATCATCTTTTGGCCAAACCATTTCCTTATCAAATGTCTGTACCACAAGATTTCTCTGAGAAACATTTCTAAAAAGATACACATTAAAGGTGTACACTTCAATGTTCTTGATTCCGGGATATAATTTGATAAGGGTTCAGGCTTTTATTTTTGTACAAAGCAGTTGTTTTTGCCTATACTGTAAGTGTTTATAACAATGTCATATTTTGATCTCTTAGACTCCGAGGAGGCGTGCAGTTCCCCCTGTACCAGCAGCAGTGAGGATGAGATATCAGACGACTGTGACAGTTACTCACCGACGGCCAAACAGAAAGTGAAGAATCGCCGCTCGCGGTCCGAGCCCTGGCTACTGGAAGCTGATCTGAAAGGCAGCCGGGGATTCTACAACATGGTGCGCAACATGGGGGAGAAACCAAAAGGTACAGTTGTAGCACTGCTGCAAAGCTGTAAGGAGAAGGTTTCCTTTTTCCCTGTAGCTTAAACTAAGTTAAAGCAACATTGTAATTTTTATTGTAAAGTTCTAGTTTGAAGTAGTGTGTCATCATTCTACTTCTAGAAGGCAACTGACATTTCATGGAAACGATTAACATCCGTGTCCATAATATCACCAGGGTCCATAATATCGTCACCTTGAGAAACAGTGTGCTTTAAGATATTTTTACTGCAACATACTTTTGGTATGCACTCCTTTACACATCACATACCTAGGGTATGTTGCAGTAAAAATATCTTTAAGCACACTATTTCTCAAGGTGGCAATATTATGGACCCTGGTGATATTATGGACACAGATGTTATATCCTTATGAGATTATGTAAAAAGAAAAATAACTTCCCTATACTAGTCACTTTCGTTAAACCTACTGTAAGTTCTGTCTGATCCATCCCAGCGGCCAATGGTACCCAAGCCCATTGAACAGTCTGTTGAAGAACTGTTGATGATCCAAAAGTGATGTCGGTCCTATAACATGACCTCTGTCCCAAGCTTCTCAAGTTGACTACAGCTGGTAAACAAGTTAAACATGAAGTTCTTTAGTCAAAGTCAGGGTCGGACCGACCCTTACAGTGTTGGCTATCTACAAGGAAAACTTTAAACAGCACACTGACTTGGAGTAGGTTCTTCATGTAATTTAGTGAATTCATTGCATGTGGAGATCAGATATTGTTTCCAGGCCTTCAATGTGTACTTGTGCTGCTGTGCAGCCTGCATTTTCCAACTTTCCATGGCTTTTGTGGTTTTAAACACCTACCAACCTACCTACCTAGTCCCAGGACTGATCCTTGGGGAACAAATTAGATTGCACTAAAAGAGAAATTACATCTGATTGATTTGATGTACAGAATGGAACCACGTCCAAGTTCTTATGCTAAAGACTATCATTTCCAAAGAATATATTTCAAAGTGCATTCCTGAAGTTAGTTTTACTAACCAACCAACTAACTGACTAACAAAAACATATACCAAGAGCATATGCACTTTGATGTGATTTGAAAAAAAAAACCTTGACAGCATTAAAGATGGTTGGAAAGTACAGGCCAGTTTTATGGTGTAGGCTAACAAACTAACACATTCCTCTCCCTGTTTGTTGTCCTGTTGCTGCCAAATTCCAGTCTTTCACAAGGGTAAGGCACCCCTACCTACTCACCACATTTCCACATGCTGCACATCAGGCCACACCAATGAAACTTGTTGGTTCTCATATTGAAAGAAATTATTTTGAACCAAAAGTGCAAGGTAAAAGTCTGTGATGAGTGAGGGGAAAGTCTGTACTTTTGTGCATGATATTCAGGGAGGGAAAAGTTAAAAACAGTTACTAGTACTAGTAGTAGTTTTCCAAACAGCTCTTTGCATATTTTAATGTTCACCACTTGCCAAGCTGTTCTTAAGAATGTCTGGAAACCAAGGAAATGAATTGGTGTGGCCTTCAGGCATACTTAGCAGCACCAAGTTACAGAAGCACTGTACAAGTCCTGGAGTTGGGGCTGCCAAGTACACCACTTGTAACTCCTAGTCTGTCAGTCCCCTGGGGCAGTACGGTTGTACGTCAGGGTTAGAGTTATGCAGGGACGGTTCTGTGTGTGTAGTTGTCTGTGCTGCAGTGTTGTACCAGCAGACTTGAGGCAGACACTGTGTTTGGTGTCAACAACCAGGATAGGTCTAGTGTTGTAGAAATGGCTGTGTGTGTTACACAGGCCTTCTCTTTAGAACTTGGTGCTTCACTGTAGCAAACGTAAGAAGCAGAAGGCATGCTGGCTTTTCCCTCTGGAAAGTCTCACTTAGGATCACAGCCACTTGAAGATTATGCATGCCTCCTTGGGTCGCTTCCTATCACTCGATCAGGCTGAAACACGTCACTTCGGGGAAAATCCGTTGTCTTGTTTCCGGAGGATTTCAGTGACGGTTCAGTACCTCTAGCCGCCATGAAGAGTGCAATGTCGTTCTTACCCCACGAGTTTTCTGTCTCCGAACTTAAGATCCATGGCTACCCGCTGACAGGAGGTAAGTCAAGTTCAAGGCTGTGTGTACAGTGTGTCCACAGCGTCTGTGTGTTTGAAGAAATGTGTTTTGTATTATGAGTTTGGAAGGTCGACAGCATGGAAGGGATTTCTTAAAGTGTGTTTGGCAGTCAAATTACCACTGGTCATAGGTAAGTAAAAATTGCTGCTGCATTTTATAGTCAGACTATGATTGTCTTCATGCACTAAATGATGACGGTGGATCTTGATTGCCTTCTGTCTTGTAAATCCTCTGTTTTTTCTAACTGGAACTGGTAGTTTTGGACCAAATTAAACATGTGCATGTCAGTCCTATGCATAAGGAAATACCAGTATTCCTGGCAAGGCTTTTCTTTCCTGTTGGGAGTTATAAAAGGTTGTGATGACTTTCAGCTGCACTAGAATAGTTGAAAAGAGTCCAATTTTCCTTGCAACTTTAGTGTTACCATTGAATGTACTTATGGGTCCCGGAGTGAATACGTGCTCAAGTCAAGGTCCAAGCATACAAACTATTTAAAGACAGTGTAGTTGAATGAACTTCAAACCTTCGAGGTATTCATGAATAACATACCCAGTAACCCAGTATTCAAATAGTTGTTTCCTTTTTCTGTCAAGTGTTTTTCTTGGCTTTTGTTCAATTTTTTTCAAGTCCAATTTCAGACACCATATGATTAACTGACACCATAAGTAACCGTGTTTTTTGTAGCTCACAGTATGTAGTATAATTATAACTACTCATACATGTAAAATGGCCCAACCTTTTGTCTTGAGAGAATGAATTAAGGCCACACCAATTTAATTTCTTGGTTAACGGATTTTTCTAGAAAAATAATGGAGCGGGCGGGCGAAAAAAATAAAGATAAAAACAGGCCTAGGCATCTTACTATAGCCCAAAATGGTACAATAGGAGCCATGAAGTCAACACACCAGGCTGGTTCAAAATTTCAACAATGAAATTTTAATGATACCATTGCATTGAAAGATGTAATAGCTGCAACAACTAGGATGAAAAGGACTGTTTTCAACTGTTCAGGGCAAAATATGAGCATTTTGCAGTTTATTCTGAATTTTTATTTTTATTTGCAAATCAGAAAATAAATGAAGCGGGCGAATCTGTTGACCAAGAAATTAAATTGGTGTGGCCTAAGGGCAAACTGCAAACTTTAAATGCTAAAGGTCAGGTACATTACTATCACAGCAAGAAAAGAAGGAAGGAAGCTACTGAAAAATGAATTTTAGATCATGAAACATCATTGTTTGAAATAGACCAGCCCACATGTACTATGTATACTTAATAGTGATTAGAGCCTGCCAAACCGGCTGGAGGAATTATAGATGCTCAGCTGGTATGTCGCTGATAAATATTTGTGAGGTAAGTACCCTGGGCACACATGGCTGGTGAGTTGTGTACACAGGCTGTGGTGTCACCCTTACTGCAACTACACAATGGGCTGGGAGGTAGTTTGGGTCCTAAGGTGGGTGGATTACTACTCACAAGGCTGTACCAATCTGTTTCTTTGGTTCTCAGACATTTCAAAGCAAAGACAAAACAAGAGAACATGAAAACATGGCTGAATGTAAAACTTGAATCTGACTAATCATTATCCAATACCAACACCAAATGAAGGTACAAACTTCACCAGGTGTTTTCATTGTTGACATTTCAGGTCAGTATTATTGTTTTGAAGTCCCAGAACTAACAAATTAGCTTGGAGCTGCCCAAACAATGGACATTGTGATGTAGTCAGACTGGTTTGGCGATCCTTGTTGTAAGTGTTGTTTGTGTTCCCTGTTGTTTACAGTTCCTCCCAAGCCACAGCTCCTGTCGTACCGTCGGCTGGACGACAGCGTGGTGCGACCTCAGCGACCCCACAGCAAATCTCTTCCTGGTTCCCATGATGCCTTGCTGCAGAGGTCCAACCACAGGGCTCCCCCTGCCGTGCCTCCCAAGCCGACCAGGAAGAAGACTCCGCCAAAAGTTCCTGAAAAGCCTCGCGCGCTCAGCCGCTCGTTCAACGGGAGCTCCAAGATCACAACAAGCGTCCAGAATGGTCGATCCGCCTCGGTGTCACCAAAGGTAAACCGTGGGCAGATTTCTACTGCGCAGAGTAACGGCGGGAGTGTTTGCCGAGACCTGTGGACAGACAAGACAAGCGTGACCGCGGAGCCCGTGCTTCTTCGCTCCGCTGCAAAGTCACAGCAGAAGTGTGGCGACAACATGGAACCTGGAACCTTCACGAAAGAAGGACTGTGGGAGAGGAAAGTGACCTCGGTGGTTGTAAACAAAGACGGCACCCTCTCCAATGGGAAGCTCCTGGGCCCACAGCCTTATGCAGGGCTGGATAGACTGGCAGTAGAACCTGCAGACACATGGCCAAAAATGACGACTTCCTCTAAAGGCCGTGTGAATGAACTGGCCAGGATGTTTGATGCCGGACAGACAAACACCCTCCCCAGATCGGAACACACCGGCACAGAGAACAGGTACGTCTATTGTCATTCAGGTGTTAAATAGGACAGTTAATAATTACTCTGTGTGCTCAGGGAGTTACAGAGTTGTGCAGCAATCGGGTTAACAGAGATCAGATTTGGGAAAAAAAGGCAAAGGCATTCAAAGCCGGTGAGTAATTTCAGGCTACAATGTTATTGTCAGTCATAGAATAATTACAGGAAGTTATCTTATTTTCTCCAAGAGTTTAGGAACCACATTGTCTGGACACACTGACATAGGATAGACATTTAAAAGTGACGGATGTCATTTTTGTTTCTCCTGAAACTATAGACAACCATTCATTTTCTTCCCTGTTTTGTCCTTTAGGAATATGTGTAAATTTAACTCACCTCTGTACTGGAACAGAGCTGCATTGTATTTACTGGTAGTCATCTCCGTAAATGGCACACTAAATGCCGGAAGTTCATGATATGCATTGCAGGTATGCACAATCCACAATACAGAACCTTTGGTTGTGGAAGGTGCCAAAAATGTGTGAAGTATTTTACCTTGGTCTTTGAAAGAGAGAAAAGAGGAAGGAAAGGGGAGAAGCCAGGTACATGTAAATAATTATGTACAGGTGAGGTGTTGTCAGGTGTCGTGATTCAAGACTAGGGATAATTGAAGGTCATATACATGTAGTAATGTGAATGGGATTTCCCCTGGTACTTACCTTAATATGATACATGACTTTTGGGGGATTTTCAAACCAAGAAAAGAGCATAGCAAGAATTAAGAAATAAAAAAAAATTGTGTGGCATAAGGGCTAAGGCCATATGTCCTGTATGTGAAAGTGTCACTGTATTCTATAGATCTGTGTTTTGGGGAGAAAGTTTGTGTTAAGTATCCCGTCAGTAGTCCCACATTTACTTGGAATACGTGACTGTTCTCATCTGCATAACAAAACGTCATTATATCCCGAACTTGGCCATGCAGAAAATCTGATATTTGGCATCACAGCAGACGTGACCTTCAGGGCTTAAATCAACTTTGCTCATTGCAAGTTGTAAAATTGTATTCATTATTAACAGCGAGCAGATTATTATTGGAATGAGCAGAGCACTTTGGACTAATCTCTCTGGCTGTTCACAGCTTAGAGGTACATATCCAATATTTTGTCAAAAACATCTTTGTTACATAGCGGATCATAATGACCCCCAGCGGGGGTCTTCACGCTTCATTAAAAATGGAAAAATCTCAGGATTTATTTCAAAGATCTCAATATTTTAGACGAAATCTTGAGATCTTATGACACAATCTCAAGATCTTTCAGAAAATCTTAAGATGAAAACGAAAGGTCTCAAGATCTTCCAAGATATTTTTAAACCATCTTGAGATTTTTCCATAGCATCTCGAGATGCTTTAAAAAATATCAAGATTTTTTTTAAGATCTCATGATTTATAAAGTAATCTTGACATTTTTAAAGCATCTCAAGATGCTATGAAAAAATCTCAAGATGCTTTGAAAACAACTTGGAAAGATCTTGAGACCTTTCATTTTCATCTTAAGATTTTCTGAAAGATCTTGAGATTGTCATGAAAAATCTCAAGATTGTCTCATAAGATCTCAAGATTTCGTCTAAAATATTGAGATCTTTGGAATAAATCCTGAGATTTTTCCATTTTTAACGAAGCGTGAAGACCCCCGCTGGGGGTCATTATGATCCGCTATGTAACAGAGATGTTTTTGACAAAATATTGGATATGTACCTCTAAGCTGTGAACAGCCAGAGAGATTAGTCCAAAGTGCTCTGCTCATTCCAATAATAATCTGCTCACTGTTTATTGCGGTCCTAAACTTTGTATTAAAATCTTTCAGCAAATTGTGAAATGCAGGTGGCCTAATCGAGCCCTAAGCTTAAATGTACTGTGCAGCAAGGTCAGATATGACCATTTATAAAAATTAATGGCCTGAAAGCATGTCCAGAAAGGTATGCTCTAAGATACTATGTCATGTACCAGTAGTATAAATAATAATGACAATCTTCAAACAAGTAATTATTTACTAGACATTTGAACCAGATCAATGTGTTCTGGCCGGGTTCACAATTCTGTAATGCCCGGTCAGAGGTAGACTCCAGGGCAGTATGGTATGATGTCCTACAGCATGTCACGTGGGAATGCCATCTGATAACACTAGCCTGAGTTATGAATGATAACTGCCATATTTCTGGTGTCTCTGCCTGGCTGTAACTGGGTCATGTAAGGAGTACTGTGCGTTCTGAAAACCCTGCCGCATGGCAACACAGACTAACAGGTAAGGGTGGAATCACTGTAGGAAAATCAGATACGTTTGAAATGGTAAACCATTATCGATGTTTACAAATTCAGGCTGATGTTTGAATTTGATAAGAGATGTGCTTGACGCATTCTGTGATTAATGTTTGATCTGAATCACTAGTGTCACAATAGAATCATACCATAGTGTGATGATCTTTTTCCATTTTAAATTTGTCTCATAATAACCTGGCCCAGGTATCTAAGACTTGCTGGTTACCAACAACCAACATTAAGACCCGATTTGTTTGGAATATTTAGACCAAATACTTCAAACAAGTTTGGCTGCCTTTGGACTTTTACCCGGACTTCAAACATGACTGCATTTCTGCTACATAGGAACGGCATTCTTTGGGGAATTTGTGCAGCATTTTGGCTGTTTTTCTCTGCCTATCTGGTTCCATGTTTGTAAGCAGACAGTGATGGGTATATTAAGTTGCCAGCCATGTTTGTACAGTATATGTAGACAGCTGTTCCGCTCCAGCCTTGCCTAACATAGCAGCCTGGCTGGCACCCAAGTCAGTTAAGGTCACTGCAATCCTGGGTATAAACACCAATAGAGAAGCACAATACAGATTTAGCAAGTCGTTTTAATAACTCAAAGGCCTGGCCATGTGCAATGAAAAATGAAAGGGCGTTGCTTATGTCTTTATTAAATTGGTTCCTAATGTCATACAATTTTGATTAATGAATGAAATACATTTTTTTAATCTTAAATGAATCAGTGTTATGACTGCTCCCTGTATTTCAGATCCCGTTCTGCTTTTTCAGGTAGTGTAACAGGAATCTCTTTGTAGATGCTTTTCTAACTAAGAAAACAGCTTTCATTTTGTGGTAAAATTAGTGATGAAATTGCCAGGTTAGGTTTTAGAAACAGCAAAATTTACCAAGTACAGAATGGTTCTCTTATACTAAGTCTTATAGGTGGTTAATCTATATTCTCAATCTACTAGAACTGTCAACAAGACATTTTCTATTATCCAGTCATTGTGTAGGTTATAAGAATTCAATGATTTTGGTGTGCTTTTAACAAATTCTACCGGGTTTGTCCACAGGGTTAATTGATAGGGGATAGAATAGAATAAAGACTGGATTTGATTGTAAACAGTTATTGATAGTGAATCTGTAATTCCCCCCCCCCCTCCCAGCGCAATCCGCACCTCCCCGATGACCAAAGAGCGTAAGCGCAGCAGCTCGGACAGCGGGTACCCGCGGCTGAGCGAGGCGGACAGCACGCGCAGCACCAGCGTGGCCAGCACGGCCAGCTTCCTCAGCAGCGGGGAGGACTCTGAGGAGGAGGACAGCGCAGACGGAGACTCTACTCCGGAGGAGGAGGAACTTCAGGAGGAGGAGACAAGTGAAGGGTCTCAGGTATGGAGCATCTTCATCTTCAATATTCTTCATTCTTCAATATTCACAAAACACTGGGCACTTTTGGTTTGGAAATTGAATACTATATTCACTTAATGTTCACGGTAGCAAAAGTTCACGGTATGAGAAAAATGGATAATATATTCACGGAACTATATATTCACGGTGGCAACAGGTGAAGGAAAAAGAAGTCCAGGAATTATTTGTTTACTATAATGGTAAGTTCACGGTACAGAAGTGACAGTGAAAACAGTGAACATAACAGTACAGTACATGTAACTGGAA